GCTATATATTGGATAAGTCAGCTATATATTGGATAAGTCAGCTATATATTGGATAAGTCAGCTATATATTGGATAAGTCAGCTATATATTGGATAAGTCAGCTATATATTGGATAAGTCAGCTATATATTGGATAAGTCAGCTATATATTGGATAAGTCAGCTATATATTGGATAAGTCAGCTTATATATTGGATAAGTCAGCGCAATCCAGAAAGATTCTGAGTTCGTTGACCTTCCCCTTCAATCTTTTAACATATAAATTATTAAATTTGCATATGAAAGTTTCATCGGACGTGAAAATGCCATTAGAAAAATCTCCCTTTAGGTCAAGTCATGGGAATATTTTACGCTTGTCACGTTGAAAGAATAGAAAACGGGGACCATTTTGACTCAATGCATTTCGGATGTCATTTGTGGTAGTTTATTTTAGCTAAACTGAAGAATTAAGTTTACAAACATATAGTCCATTCAATTATCTTACATTTGATATCTCATTTTCTCTTCTAAACCCAATAATAATATTTTTAATAGTTTTTTTAATCTTAACCTCTCCCTTCTGGTACCCGGGTACGAATCGCCACTTTGTTTTCATAATGTATTACGGCGCACCTTACATTTTGAGTAGAGGGGGGTCATTTTTTAAATAATAAAATTACTTGGTATGTGTAAGATCGAGTGTATCTCATTAGCCAGTGTAAATGGTAAGCGTAATTGATACATCTGAAATAGACATAACTTTTTGTTTGCAGTTCTCGTGAAGTCTCCAAATATTGAATTGGATGCGAGAACAATGTCCCAAAAATGGAAGCTAAAACGAATAGCGCCCAACGTGGGGCTCGAACCCACGACCCTGAGATTAAGAGTCTCATGCTCTACCGACTGAGCTAGCCGGGCTACAAGTTGTGGGAAATTGCTAATTTCAAAAGTTGCATATAAGCTTACAGCCTACATTGTTATAGTTTGAATACATAATTCATTTCAGTACACTCGACTCGATCGGTTTGTTTAACCATTAAGTTAAAAGGATCATTCATTTTAAAAATCAGCATGGTTTTATTCTGATGTCTTCTTAAATATACAATATATCCTATATATAAATTTCTACATAGCCGTAATATAATAAGATTGTACACATTTCAATTAATTATGATTTTAATTTTAAAATTCAAAGTTTTAAGTTTAATTAAAATTAATCAATTATAATAGTTTTAAAAAAAATACTTTTTATTTTTGGTGGGAAAGTGGATTTTTAGTATTTACTGATATGTCATACTAATTGATACAGATAAAAGTAAACTCTGATAATTTTTTGGGGTAAAACACCGTCACGTGATGAATTGACTAGCATACATCATAAAATTTAAATAGAGACATTAGAATTCAAAAAGTGGTAGGTTGGTTCCAGCTTTGAAGAAGATGGAAAATGTCGCCACGGCAGCAGCAGTAGCGTCACTAACCCCAGTGACTCCTCTGGGCCGGACTTCAAGAAAGAAATTGTTCAAACTCGTGGTCTAGGTATACGTTTCTAATGTTTATTGTATACCAATGGACACAATGATGGTAAACTCAACACACACACACACCATTCCCACACACCCCCAACCTTGACCTTACCCCCTTTCCCCGAGCCAATGCCAATATGGCCAATGTTAGAACGACGTAAGATACTCGTAGTGTAACAGGATTTGGTCTCGGTCCAAAACATGTCTTTTAATTACTAGAGTACACTCTTCATTATTCTTTCATATTTAATCTCACCCCCTCCTACCCTCCCCCCCCCCACAATAAAAAATGAGTTGATTTATTGAGTCATATCCCTTAACAGCAGCAATTTGTAGTAAACATTGAGGACAGCTGATGCCACCCAATTTATACTTAACTTATAATTAATTGACAAAGATGTGTTGGCGGCTATGGAAAAGAAAAATCCACGTGCAAATAGCTAAATTTAAAGGTATTTTATCACAGTCAGAAGACCTCTAACCATGCAGCTTTCTTGGGGTCAAGTAATATTTTAAAATAAAATATTCAACTCTTTATCTTTCAGACGCCATTACAAATTGCATTTTTTTAAATTTAAAAAAAAAAAAGATGCATACAATTTCAACGAAGTCAATTAACATTTTTTTTAAAAAAGCATTTTCCCCCATAAGATTTCAGTGTATGCGTTTCTGTAGTTACAAAAATTAATGTTGCAAGACTTAAATCTTGCATAATTACACAACGGTTTCTCAAAGTTATCCCCATAAATAAGGGCATGATTTCAACTGTATGAGAACCTGTCATCCCAAGCTGGTCTGTCTACTTTTCGTTTAGCTGATCCCTTGCGGCTGACCCCTGACGTCGCCCTCTGTGCCGGTGTTGCCGATGTTGCGCTTCTAGTGCCGCTTTTAGCCCTGACCTTTGCCGACTTCCGGTCCGAAGACTCTATGGGGGGTAACGCCGAACTCCCGGAAGTACCTCTCGTCCCCCCTTTCATTTTTTGTTCGGGGTAAGTGAGCTTCTTCGGTCGACCTGACCTCGACGGACTGCTCCCTGCTGGAGCCTGGCGACTTCGTAAGATCTTCTTGAGCTGAGCGTTGAGTTTCAGCGCCTGCTGAAAGAGCTCCTCCGTCTCATCATCGTCCAAGTTCGCTTTGTCAAGCTGTTTGGACAAATGTTCCGGATCGACCAGGGTGAACTGACGGACGTCTTTAGAATCCTCGTCTCCGCAGCGCTCACGATTAGAGCCGATGTCATTCGTTTCTGTACCCCGTGAATCGGGTTCCATTGCCTTGTTGGGGTTCTGAACTAAACTCCACACGACAGCGGCATTCTGTGAAGAATGGATAAGAATAGCAATGTAATGTAATGACGTATTATAATAAGACAAAATAGAAAAGGCTTTAGAAATTCAGTCTTGAGCCCAGATAGGCTGACTTGCAATATATCAACGATCTAAAATTGGCTCTGACTTTGATATAGTTTTGCGGTATGTTACAGGGGTCTTGAAAGTAAATTTCTTCCGACTCCTCAGACACGGTAAATTAGTGGTGACGTTTTCATCAAATGATTATATGACTAGGGACTCCTCTGAATGATGGTATTTTTAAGCAGATTTTAAGAACAATAATAATTATATTTTAATCAACAACTCGACGATAAGATAATTGGATACTTACGAGTAAAGTTACAATTATAAATAAAACATCTTGTGTACAAAGTTATTTTTGTTCAGTTATCTAATAACGATTAGACGGTATCATATTATTGACAACCGAAGTCAGTTCTACTGTTGGTGAATAGTTTTATTATAGGGGTTGAATGGCTGCATGAATGTGTAGAGTATAAAGAACACATTGTGAGTGTGTAGCGTATATACGGAATGCTTTGTGAATGTGTGGAGTATAAAGAATACATTGTGAATGTGTAGAGTATAAAGAATACATTGTGAATGTGTAGAGTATAAAGAATGCATCGTGAATGTGTAGAGCTGGTATAAAGAATACTTTGCGAAGGTGTGGAGTATAAATAATACATTATGAATGGGCATTATGAGTGCATAAAGAATATATTTGGTCTATTTAACTAACCTCAATTTATCATCAAACTATTTAAAAGCCCTAAGGCTGTAGCCATGTCGCAAAATTCTTAAGAACTCTTGCACTTTAATCAGATATATCAGACATATTTTGTAAGGATGTTTAAATCTCTAGGGAGTATAGTGGTACAATATCAGTTTGAATCAGATTTGTCTAACTCCTGTTCAACTTGAAAATAGACAGACATTAGTTAGGGTTGTATATGGTGTTGTTGTGTTGGCAGGTTATGTTGGATGCTATAGGTCATTGACCATCATTACGCTATTCAAAGTGTGAGTTTGATTCTCCTTATTCTTAGTTACATGATGCTAAGGCTTTGATTCTCCTAATTCTTAGTTACATGATGCAAAGACTTTGATTCTCCTTATTCTAAGTTACATGATGCCAAGACTTTGATTCTCCTTATTCTTAGTTACATGATGCAAAGACTTTGATTCTCCTTATTCTTAGTTACATGATGCAAAGACTTTGATTCTCCTTATTCTTAGTTAGATTGTACAAAGACTTTGATCTCGCTATTCTTAGTTACATGATGCTAAGACCTGTTAGAGGGTAGAGCATATAAGTAAAACACATTTATGGTACACAAGACAACTGTAACCAAACACATCATGGCACCAAATAACAGACAGAACTCAGAAGCACGGGAGACGTGAACTCGTGTTGGCACTCTCGTACTCATGATCTATGACGAACTTCCTACTCGGCATCACAAATCAATTCAACGTTGTCATAACACGCAATGACCACGTGACCATCAAACACTACACGGTGACGCTAAAGATAAAAAAACAACAACAATGAGACATTTGAACACTGTGATATTCAATGGACGCGAGACACCGTGAAACCGTAACACAACCCACATACAACACAAGAGTAACACGACACACCCCTGAAACCAGCCCCATGACACACAGGGGGCCCCAGCAGCAGCTTATACCCAACTATTTAGACACATCTCCCAGCCCCAGGAACCCCCCCCCACTCACCTGATTGTAATACATCACAAAAGCGTCCCACTATAGAGAAGAGAACTCACCTGTATTAAGTCATCCTGTTACCCCCGAAACCCGCCCCCTGACCCACAGGGGGCCCCAGCAGCAGCTTATACCCAACTATTTAGACCCATCCCCCAGCCCCAGGAACCCCCCCCCCCACTCACCTGATTGTAATACATCACAAAAGCGTCCCACTATAGAGAAGAGAACTCACCTGTATTAAGTCATCCTGTTTTTACACAACAGTTGTATCCCATCTCCGACTTAACTCAACACATTCATCACACCAAATGACCGTGTAGCCAACCCCAACAACACAAAACGATCGTCATGTCTCAATTGTCACGGTGGAGGGCTTCATTAATGGGACCAAACAAATCGGCGGAGCTGCAGCTCCAGACAGTCTAAGCCTCACACTATCGATCCATCTCGATATCGGATCGATAACTACTTGATTGATTTTTGTACTCGAGAGCGTGTCTTGTGCGGCGCGTTTAAAGGAAACGATTGTGTTGCCGAGATATTAGGGGCTGTAAGGTCAAGACGTCAATACTGTGTGTTGGGCGTATGGGCACAGGGAACTTGTGTGTCCATGTTGGCAGAGGAACTAACTGTGCACAATCACTTTCTGCGTACGTGCTATCGGAGGAACTAACTGCACACAATTACTCTTTTTGTGTACCTGTTGGTGGAGGAATTTACTGGACACAATCGATTTTGTGTGTACCTGTTGGTGGAGGAACTAACTGTACACAATCACTTTATAGTTGTAACTTTTAGCAGGAGTACTTAATGGTACGCCAATATTATCTTGACACACTACACTAAATAATGATAAAAAAAAAAAACTACATATAGTATCAAGTTTAATCAAATATTATCTACATGTGGTACAACAAGACGACTCTTAATTAATAAGGAAAGAAAATATCATTCAAAATGTGACTCTAAACTTTAAGTGGGTTAAAATTGGTGACGTGTCCACTCTGAGAGATCATGAAACACAGGGTTTGGGCTGCACTTAAGTGGTGACAAAAATATTCTTTTGATCGGAAGTAGTCTAATTGTATGGACGAGAATATTATTGGCTCCGAACAAGGCGAGAAATTGTTTATAGCAGTGATTCTCAACCTTCTTAATGACGCGACCCTTTAATACAGTTCCTCATGTTGAGGCGACCCCCCCAGCCAGAAAATTATTTTCGTTGCTACTTCATAACTGTAGAGCATAAGTGTTTTCAGATGGTCTTAGGCGACCCCCTGGGAAAGGGTCATGCGATCCCCCAAAGAGGTCACGATCCACAGGTTGAGAACCGCTGGTTTAGAGGAAGTAGATCGAATCTGATAAAATAAAACAAATCTTTGTTATTCACATTAATTTTATTTGGGCACTAAGATGTATCCTGCTTAATGGACACGTAAGAACGGGACGCCAACAATCGCAATACATACACACAGACGCATCGAACGGACAGACAGATCAATAAAATTATCAAAGAAATCATAAAAGAAGAATGTATGTATGAATGGGATGTGTGATCAAATCTGATAATCTATGTTTGCCTATACGCCTGACACATGTTTCAAAACATCCCCTCGATTGCCTCCATAAACACGAAAAAAGACGATGTTAGAAGGTCTCAAGTTATTAAAAGGTCAAGACTGTATTAAAAGGCCATGACTGTTTGAAAGTTTACAAGCTGATCGAAAGGTTACAAGCTGATTGAAAGGTTACAAGCTGATTGAAAGGTTACACGCTGATTGAAAGGTCACAAGCTGATTGAAAGGCTACAAGCTGATTGAAAGGTCACAAGCTGATTGAAAGGTCACAAGCTGATTGAAAGGTCACAAGCTGATTGAAAGGTCACAAGCTGATTGAAAGGTCACAAGCTGATTGAAAGGTCACAAGCTGATTGAAAGGTCACAAGCTGATTGAAAGGTCACAAGCTGATTGAAAGGTC